GGCTTCTACCCCGACCACGTGGAGCTGAGCTGGTGGGTGAATGGAAAGGAGGTCCACAGTGGGGTCAGCACAGACACTCAGCCCTACAAGGAGAGCAATAACATCACCTACTGCCTGAGCAGCCGCTTGCGGGTCTCTGCAAGCTTCTGGCACAACCCTCGCAACCACTTCCGCTGCCAAGTCCAGTTCTATGGGCTTTCAGAGGACGAAGTGTGGACCCAGAGCTCACCCAAACCTGTCAGCCAGAACGTCAGTGCAGAGGCCTGGGGCCGAGCAGGTGAGTGGGGCCTTGGGGACTTGGAGAGGAGACTGAGCATCACCAGCACCTCAGAAAAGTCAGAAGACTCAGGTAGAAGTCAAGAATAGACCTAGGAGAAATCCAAAGTGGTGGTCAGAGGTGACCAAAGTCATGGTGTCAGCAAACCATAGCATGTGCTTCCTCCCAAAGGCCTCTGGACCTCACTGGGGTCCCCCTGGATCTCTAGGTTAGTAACTCCTCCTCTCAGTTGTGCTAATGGGTCCCCCCGTAACCCACTATGTAGCTTAGCACCTGCGTGCTGTGCCTCACAGCCCCATCACTGGTCCTAGATTTTTAAAGTGAGTGTCCTGCACTTGAGCAGTGTGAGGAAGACTACCAGGGCCATCACAGGAGGATGCTTGTACCATCTGGCATGCATGTTTGTGGCCCTTGAGTCTGGCTTTGAAATTTATGATTTAAGGCTCATTGTCCTCAAGCAGTGGCATTTTCTCACCTATTTTTCTCCATTTATTTTCTTTCAGATTGTGGCATCACCTCAGGTGAGTGAGCCTTTCCCTTTGTCTAAGCCTTTTCTCTTCAAGGCACAGAGAACCTATGGATACTAGGGACAGGGGAGGCCAGAGCTGCCTGTTCATAGGCACCTACCCACTCTCCCTTCCTGCCAACAGCATCCTATCAGCAAGGAATTCTGTCTGCCACCATCCTCTATGGGGTCCTGCTGGGGAAGGCCATCCTGTATGCTTTGCTGGTCAGTGCCCTGGTGCTGATGGCCATGGTAAGGAGGGGAAGATGAACCAGGATTTCAGGGAGGGTGGAAAATTGTTCACGGGATATAAGTCATCTCAGAGCAGACCTCAGCTCTGACATGTCCTGTCCGAGACACAGACCAGAGAGAAAATGCAGGAGTAGTTATGAATGTACCCATGGAGGGTGGAGAGAACTAAGGAAAGCTGTCCTCGGAGTCACACCCCAGCACCTGCCCAGTCTGTCCTGCTCTTTTTACTCCATGGAGTCTAGAACCCTGACAATGTCCTTTCTTCCTCAGGCCAAGAAAAAGAATTCCTGAGACCAGCTCCTGTGCATCCTGGGTAGTTCTTCCTCTCCAACCTGGATTCTTCTATGCCTGCTCCAATTAGTGTTTTGAAGGAATTATTATTCCACAAGTCTCCTCTACTACATGGCTGTTGATCTTCCCTCACTGCTTCCCATAGACTGAGCTCCCGACCCTGATACAGACTAAACTAAATCAATAAAAATGTTGAACAGGGCTGGTTGTATCTCACCAGTGTCTCTGGGGTCCTGGATTAGTGACTACCCTTCTGATATGGGAAGGCATCATCCCCTCAAGCAGAGTGGCCAGCGTCCTTGTTGGCCAGTGCCACTTCCTCCTGTGCATCCTGGTAGAGGTCCCCCAAGTCATGGTCCTACCTCGTACACAACTCCAAATCCCTAATGTATAGTTTGTCTGAAGGAATAGAGAGAGGGGAATACCATCAACCACAGCCCTGCCTAGCACAGGGCAGAGGTTAGGCAGCTCTGTGGGTCACAGTACTCCACTATGTGTCAGTCGCAGGTTGAAGTGCCGTCTACTGTGCCTTCAGATTTAATCTATGCCTGTCCTTAACAATTCTGGTTTATCTTGTTTCAAGGGTTTATCTCAAGATCTGTGTAATTCTCCATGTCTGAGCTGGGGGTCCTAGAGAGACAGTAAGTGTAGAAAAAGTGATATGCGAAATCTAGGATTAGTGATCTCCTAAGACCACAGCAGCAGAGTCAGCCCCTGGGTGAGAGCTTGGTAGAAACTGAGTGAGTTTTGCATGTGAAATAACCCTTCCGACATGCTCTTTTCCCTATCAGACAGAGACCAGATCACCCCAGGTGGAAGGTATTAGATGCAGCTCTTTGGGCAAAGATAATTACATTAGAAGGAAAGCATGAAGGGAGGACATGATGAACAATGCCCTTCTTGAGACTGCTCATTCCCTCCAGTCCTCAGAGTGGACACTGGCACGTGCATTCAATCCCCACAGTGATCCTAGAAGCAACTGATGTCCCTATTTTGTGTGTATAGAAAGCACAGGTTCCAGGTCAAATTGTAAGCACTGAAACTGCAATGTATTTTTCCAAAACAATGGCCCAGAAAGCTCTTCCTAAGCAGAGACCATGATGGTGGTATGCTTGTTAATGGTATTACAATGACCCTGGAGCAGATGCTCACAAGCTTTGGGAAAGGACTTACAGAAAGAAACATGAAGAGGATGCCTTAGCTCCACAAAGCATTAGTTCTCCAGGGCTGCCAAAACAACGTGTACACAAAGTACACAACAGTGTGCCGTCGGCAGCTTAAGGTAGTAGAAATTGATTCTCTTGCAGTTCTAGAAGCTAAAAGTCCAAAATCACATGTCAATAGGTCAGTGCTACTTGGCAGCTGCAAGAAAGGGTCCTTTCTGGCTTCTTTCCTTCCCTTGGTTCTCAACACTCCTCTCCTTGGGGCAGCCTCTCTACCATCACGGCCTTGGCCTTCACGTGGCCCTCTTCTCTGTCTGTGCATCTGCATCCCTCTCTCCTTTCTTTTATCAAAACAAAACATGAGTAATTAGATTTGAGGCTTACTCTCAAACAATTCTATCTGGAGCTGTTAACCAACTGCAGCTTCAAAGACATTTTTTTTCCAAATAAGGCCACTTTCTGAGGTTCTGGTGGGCATGACTCTCAAGGTATATTATTCATCCCAGGGCCCAGGGCCCAGGAAGTAGAGCCGAAGGACTCCTTAAGGGGTCTTTCACAGACCAGGAAGGATGAGAGCTTCATCTCAAATGGCCTAGTAAGTCATCACAGTCTAGTAGCTTTCATAATTCATAATTTCTAGATGTCTCAAACTGTGCTACAGTGTTTTTTAATTGGTGGTTGTCTTAGTGGCTTATCTTATGCATTTTTTTCATGATGGCTAAAAACATATAACAACTGTGGAGGCAGGTTTAAGACCCACTCCTTTGGCCTATGGGGCACTGAGATATTATGTGATAGTTCCACTTGTGTGGCATGGAAAGATAAGTACATATTGGGGACAAGCAAATGCTTTAGAGAAAATATGGGTGCTGTTGTGTGGACCTGAGTGGGTACGTTAGGGGAGGAGTTTCAGAGAACAGGATGTGAATAAACAGAACTAGGAAGGCTAAGTAGTTGTAGGGTAGACCACTGTGGAGGTGGGGAGAGGATAACCCTTCACAAATGGTAACTGTGTTTGAAGACTTGGTTATGGTTTTATTTTGGATGCAGACAGCAGATACATGGAAGGCTGTGAGAATCATTACCCTAAAGTATGCTCCAAGTCAAAGTGAAGACTGAAGGTCACCCTTCTCAAAGATAAAAGCCAAGTGACTTTTACCTCTCACTAACAGAGATGAAATTACAAACTCTGTCTTGCCCCCATCCAACACTTGGCATGACTAAGGGAAAACCCCAAGTCTCTCTCCAAGTCTTTACCACCATTTACTTGTCTCTCCCTAACAACACAACTCCTAACACTCAGCTCAAGGCACTGGGAAGTTGATCTTTTCTGTCCCTGCCTCTTTCTCTAGAATCAAAGTGGATCTTTTTGGACTAATTCAGGAATCCTTTTCATCCTTCCTGAGGTTAAACTGAGCAAGATGAGTTAGATATCGGACATTTGCAGTATATTTTTTATAAGAAGTAAGAGCATGAAGAGGCCACTAACCAAATGTGATTCAGGGACAGAACAGTAAACTGTGACTTCATAAAACTAAAACACAAGACATCTTTGGAGGAAGACTCTGTGACATCTGTTGGGTCCAGAGTTATTTTCCCAATGGGAAGCACTGAAGATAATCCTCATTGACCTGGACCTGTCCACTGGTCCTAGACTCGGGGCTGATTTAAGTTTCTTGTCATTAAGGTGGGCAGAATGCAGGACAGGGGCCACAGCATACTCCACAAGTGATACCAGTATTGGAGCAAAGCATGCTTACTGACTGAAGAGACTTGCAGAAAAGCATTTCTAGAAGAATATCTGGCTTCTCTCAAGTTCTCAACATCCCATGAAGCACAACTAAGCTCTCCATAAATAGCACTCTAAGGGAGGAACTAACCCATGACCTTTACAGATTTGTCAATTATGAAGGGGTAATAATCATAATTTCCTGGAAGGGCACAGATTCTCATGGGGCAGGGCTGCTGGAGTCACTTGCCATTTGCCTAGAGGAATTTTTCTGTGGGTACCAGTATCCATGGAGATCATCCCAGTACTCAATGTTGGGCTATATAAGCTTGAGGAATGGAGATCCTTCAAGAGTTGATGGAATCATCCCAGAGACCAAAGTTTGTTCTTTCTTAGGAATGTAATTAGGAAGGAGGGAGAAAAACAATAAAGGAAAGGACTTTAGAAAAAGAGAACTGAACGTAAGTCCAATAGGCCCTACTTATATTTACATTCCTTGCCTAAGCCATTTCCCCATTTTACTTCTTTTGTAGTGGCCCAGAGAGGAAGACCCAGCCTCATCTCAGTTGCTAGTAGTCTCTGTGTGATGCATAGGCCCAAGTGTCCTTTACAGGAAGAGTTTCATGAGGACACTTTGACTAGAGATAGATGTAGGAGTGGAGGGTTGGTTCTTAGAGTCCTCTGCTGCAACTCTGTGCTAAAGCACAAATGTAGGCATACCTAGACACAGTTCCATTTACTGCTGGGAGATGATGGTGGGGAACAGGAGGATGGCTAGTACACACAGGTTAGTTCTCAGCTTTGTCTTGACTTGTGGATGAATTTCTTTTCTGCTCCAAGAATTTCCCTTCCAACTTTAATCACCAGGTTCCCTCTACCATGTCCATGGAACTCTCCAGTGGCATGCAAGGGGATTCATGACAGAAGATCACGAAACCTGGACAAACGCTGTAATATCAGTTCACTCTTATTTCTCATAGCAGACTCCTATGGTTGCCAGAGGGTGGTTTATAGGCTTTGGTACTTGATAATCTGAGACCTTGCCCAACAAATCTGGACCCCAAACACAAAACATGTCACAGTTTAGCTTTAGGTAGTCCCCCTCCCTCTGAATGTCTATCTTTTTATTGCCCTATATATTTCCAGATCTAAAGTCCCTCGGTTCCCTAACAAGTCTTACCTTTCTGAATCTCAAGATTTATGGTGACAATGTTTGGTTTTTCCTCAAAAAAACCAATGTTTGAGTTTTCTCCTTCCATTCACTATTCCCGTCACATCAGTACCAGATGCACGTTTCTCATTCGTCTCTATCCATACTCTTTCCTTCTCCTGTACCTGTTTTCTAAAGAAAGCTTCCCAAAATCTCAAGATTTATGGTGACAATGTTTGTTTTTTCCTCAAAAAAACCAATGTTTGGGTTTTCTCCTTCCAGTCACTATTCCCGTCACATCAGTACCAGATGCACGTTTCTCATTCGTCTCTATCCTGCATCTGTGTAAGTGTACCTGTGTGCAATGCCCACGGAGGTCAAAACTGGGTGTTGGATCCTCCTGGAACTGGAGTTATGGGTGGTTGTTAGCCACCACGTGGGATCCAAACCCGGGCCCTCTGCAAGAGTAGTGCTCGTAACTGCTGAGCCATCTCTCCAGTCCCAGTTGAATCAATTTTCTAGGAAACTAATTTTGGCTCTTATCTGTGAATTAGACAGTGTCTTATAGGGACGGAGCCTGAGGTTCAGACTATCCCAGAGGTCCAGCCTCCTACCATGTCACAAACAGGCTCACTAATGTAAATGATGAGTTTAGAAACAGTGACCCCAGTTCCAAGTTCTGGGTCACCTCAGCAACTACGGCACAATTCTCTGTACCTTCGCACTACAATGGATTGATCTTGATTGGATCTTGAGATCACAGACCCTGTACATAGTAAAGAAGAACAGTAATACAGTATCGAATCGTGCCCTCTTCTCATGGAGTTTGAACTGTCCCCAGACAACGAGCTCTCTGCCTGTCTGAGCAGGACCTTCAGCCACTGGGCAGCTCTATGAAGAATTTCTTCCTGTTTAGGTATCCACGGGTCTTACTATGACATCGTGGCTCATAATTACACTTTTCTGAGAGCTCTTCAGAAGACAGTTGGTGAACCCACTTTGGGGGAATACCCAAACATTTAGAGTGAATAATCCTCACTTTAAAATATATGATTGTGGCGCATGCCTTTAATCCCAGCACTTGGGAGGCAGAAGCAGGCAGATCCTTGTAAGTTCGAGGCTAGCCTGGTCTACATAGTGAGTTCCAGAACAGCTGGGGC